GAGGGGAAAAAATGACTCTGACAACCTTTGTTAGAGTGCTGTTGTGAAGCCTTCAGCACGAGGCACAAAACAAGCTCCAGCTACTACATGTGAACAATGCTCTGTAGTAGTCACATACATATGTTTAATTTAGCTTTAGTTTATACACTAAATATTTCTCCATAAATTCCATAAAGGAAGAAAGTAAATTAAGTTTGTAATATTCAACACCTTCACCCCAAAATATCAGTGATGATAATCAGTTCAACTATTATGGCCAGAAGGACCAAGCAGTCAACTTGTTCAAGAAATTCAGTAACCCAAATAATAATAAATAATTCTAATTTGAAGAAGTTTGAATTATGGAACTCATTAATGATGCAATACTGCACCAAGACTACCTAGGAAATCTGGATTTGGTGGCAGCAGAGGGTAACTGATACCCCTTACTGTTGTGTAATCTAGAGGAGATGGAGCCCTGCCTCCTTGTTCAGCCCTGCTTGGACTGCATCTTTTTGTACCAGAGATAAGGAGGGAGTTTCCAAATGGGAGGAATGGCTGTAGCCTGTTCTCACAAGGGACATCCCAACTCTGCAATTTTCTTCAAGTTAATAAACTTCAGGACACCAGGGGAAGCCCATCATGAACAAAACTCTCCAAGGGTTTTGCCTCTAAGGCAAAAGCAGAGTGATCCATTTGCACACGAGGCACGGGGAGTTTGGCTGCATAATATGTTCTTATTGACACCTCCAAACTCTGAGTCATTTTGGCTTCTCAATCACAATTATGAAAGGCATTTTCTTCATAAGCAGATAAAACATGATGGGAGGTGGGATGGTTCTGCCTGATAAGTGTGCATGCTGATGCTGTTGAAGCGTGATTAGCTGCCTGCTTGAGACGATGCCTGTTCCTAGCACAGATTACCTTTATTTATGGCACAAGGGAAAGGAGCCAGGACCAAAACCCCATGAGAAACAAAAATGGTGAAATCTTCCGGCTTTGCCATTTAACAATATGGCACTGAAGGGATTCTCACTGGCCTCTCAAACTGCTTTCACAGGCTTTCCCAGAGCAATTTTTATAAGGGCAAAGGAGCTCGGACAATGTAAAGTTGAAGACTGGGAGAAAGAACTGCACCAGATAATGTTTTCTCTTGGAAAGTGTTAAAACAACAACTGCTAAACCAGGCCTTCTCTGGCACAATTTTTTTTCTTTTTTTTTTTTTTTTTCCTTTTTATAACTTGAAGATTACGCAGACTTGAGAAACCTTCATTATACAAGAAAGCCAATTACTAGAACATGTTGTTCCTCTAAGTCATCTAGAAGAACATTTCAGCTTATGCAGTTTGTCCATAATGTGTTTGATGTTTGATTCTTCCATGTTCCTATGATGAATGAAGAATTAAGCTGATGCATGACTGGAATTAATCCAGTGTTTTCTACTGGCACAAAATTCTGTTTCTATGGGCTGGATACTCTCTGAAAGACATTGAAGCAGCACTTCAAATGCAAAGCTCCTTCAGAACTGTTTTACAGTAAGAATCAAAGAAAAAATCAGATATTTCCATTTCCTTGTTATTTAGATCTTGCTTCTCCTTCAAAAAATGCAAAAAATCAAAATTTGTTATAACCAGATGCTGCACCCACAATTTCTTCCACAAGGAGTAAAAATTAGGAGCAACAATAACTTGCAATAAACTACTGTAACTTATAGCACACCTCCAGTTGAATAGATCCCACTTTGAACAGCTTCTTCATGTTATCATTCCAGGATAAAACACGTCCAAAAAAGGCTTTTGAACAGAAGAAAAATGCATGTTATAACTGTCTCATCTTTGTACCATCAGTAATTTTTCCCCATTTTAGAGTTACTTGATTTATTTAGTTTTGACTAAGTGCTTTGAAGCTACAAAATTTTTGGTTCTGAACAAATCCCTTTAAAAGGAAAACTCAGGCTTGTGTCAGAATCTCTTATCTTGAAATAGCTCAGAATAGAGTCACACATCAGGCCATGATAAAATGCATATGAATTCTGAATTCTGCAATCATTAGTTTTGTGGAACAGAATAAATCAGTACCAAAGATACACAAGAGTGTGGTGCTCTTGCAAACACCAAGATGCCATTAAGGAAACCTTATGGAGGTTATCTCGCTCAGGCACAGCTGAAGCAAGATTTTGTCTCTCTTTTAGTTTGATTTCCCCTACTTCAAACTCTTACCTAATCTCTCCTCTGCAAAATTATGTAATTTTTGGAATGTTTTCAAGGTCACTACAGAACTAAATGGTAGTAACATTTTTTAAGCCAGTGTCCTGTTTCCCTGCAGTTCAAAGTGCCTGGAAATGGGAAACCACTACCTAGACCTTGAACACAGAACCAAGAATAGGAAAGCACCAGGAGTGTGAAGACAGGAAACATTTCCTCAGCAAATACACTTCTTTTCCCCCTCATCAAGTACATTTTCAACTGAGAAACCCAAAGAAATGCTACAACAGATTCAGACCTTGGTGTTCTTGCTGACACATTTCATCCTCACCACCAAGTGACACAGTTACACACACACAGAGAAAATTAGCACAGTACAAGATATGGATTAATGAACACATTTTGCCTTGAGTTTGTTCTACATATGGTATCTACAGCACATGATTAGCTGCCTGTGAAGCTGAAAGATCCCTTAGATCCTTCCAAAAGATCAAAGTAGCACCATCAACTGGGTGTTCAATTATTAGTGTCAACGATTCACAACAGACCAACCTCATCTTGCTTTTGCTGGAGGGTAAGATTTCTGTAAACCCAAGGATAGCTGAATTAAATTATAAATCAATTCAACATGAAGTCTCTCCTTGTTATTAGTGTGGTAAATAAGGGCATCTGGATGCACATCAATCACACTTGAAACTGAATCAGATAATTACTGAAATGTAAGTGTATAATCACCTTCTGAAATAGCTTCCCACTGAGAATTTAGAAGACTTGCTTTAAGTAACAGAATCAAAGATATTCAGCACTGTATTCCAAAAGCTGTCCTCCCCTACTCTGAGAGCAAAAACATCTGTGAGAGTATTTGCAATAAGACATTTCTTAACATACTAACTTTCAAAGTATATAATCCTTTCAGGTACAAGGAGGGTCAACCATTGAGCCCTTGCAGTTCTGTGTGCAATACTGAAATTATTAATGAGGTGACAGGATGAGCTAAAATTTGGCTTTTATTTCCAAGGTGCTGCAATTACACTGGATAGCATCACCTTGTACTGCTTAGGACTAATATCAGTGCAACAAACAGATATCAACACCTGGGAACATCAGGTAACACATCAGGTCAAATTACCACTTAAAAAAACCACATGAGGCTTAAGGGAGCTTAAGATCAATATCACAGGAGCAAACACTGACTTCAGACTTTGGACTGAAATGCTCAGGAGTGGGTGAGTCCCTGCAGACTCTGTTCAGCTCCATGGAGGTTATGAAGATTAATATGTACTCATTCTAAAAACTGGGTTATTGATGTGCCCTGCAGGGTACACAGAGACGCAGAGACCACAAACAGCAACTTGTCACCAAAGTAAAAAGGGAGAACACAGGTTATTCTCAGTCCTATGCTCAACCATTCATTTACGCCAAAATACACAAACTTTCTTCCCTTCCCTTTAGGATAAATAAGTGCCACTTTTGGAAATGGGATAATCTACATTTTTTGAAGCATTGCAGAATGGAAGAGAAGTTAATTTCTGATGGCTCCACAGAATGTATGCATCACTTCCTACTGCTGAATAGGAATCCTACCTCAGAATCAAGCTTGTTCCTTAAGAATCTTTGCCAACAGAATTCAAAGCATTTTCAGTGTCTTTTATAGTAACGATTTTTTCAGAACTAATGTATTGAGGATGACCACAGTGAAACCCACCCAGACAATCCAAGTTAGCCAAAGCATGACTACTGAGACTAAATTGTGTGCTCTGTGAAGGAAAGCTGCCCTGTGCCAGCCTGTTGTTTACACCACACAGTGCACATGTGTGAAATACCTGACTGGTAACTAAAACTAGCATTTTTATCCATAACACCTTCCCCCTTGAAATACACTCCAGTCTCATCAAGACTGAATGATTGATTCTAATTTTGAACATTACAATTCTAATTTCCCTCACAATGTAAGTTCTGTTTTCACCTCTTTAGTACTGTTTTAACCAATTGGTTTCGTATGTTTTAATAAAGCCATAAACATGATTGGTTCTACTTAGTTTTAAATCTTGTTCTCTTCTCTCATTGCATTGTTCAATGAAAAAAAAAATCTCAATTAAGTAATACCTAAAAGAAATCAATCAAATAGTAAGAAAACAGTAAGCTAAGGTTTATTTTCCCAGTTGAAATATTGCCCTGTTTCTTGAAATAGTTCTGCTGGCATGCTTTGTATTTTGATGACAAAAAATAATTTTACCAGCTAAGTATTTTAAATTGCAAAGGGAACCAGATGAACTAACATACTATGAAAGAATAATTAATTATTTCATTGCTTATTCTTTATAGCTTGCACTATTTACAGCAGCTGCTTATTTAGCTGATTTAAGGATTCTTTTGCAGCCCATTTCAGGTTCATTGCAGATAACTCCCAGTTACACTGCAAATCCTTCTATCCTGACACATCTTGCCCTAATGTGCAATTCAAGCAATCTCTTCAAGTGGCTGTAGCATCATCTTGTTCCCTGCATGCTGAGATACATGCAAGGCATGCTCCAAAAAGCCTGGATCTTTAAAGGAAAAAGTAGGGTTCAAATGGTTTTTTTTAAAGACACAATCTCAGGCCTAACATTCTATTATGTATTGAATAAAACTGGAAGGCTATTCATTTAATAGCAAAACAGAACTTATGATATATTCAGAAAGTCCATAAAACCTTAGAAAAAGCAGAGTCTTATAGGAAATGAAAAACCAGTAATAAATGGGTTGTACAAAACCGAGATCTGAGAGTGTCAAGTCTTAACACCAGGTCTGTCAATGTAAAATGAGGATGATATTTACCCACAGCTTTCACAGATGTCACCATTTTGAAGGAATGAATGTTTCTTCACTGTTCTCTGAAGACAAAAAGGACAGCTCACTATAATGAGAAATAAAACTGATAGTGGCTTAAGAGCAACATCTTTACAGTATCTAAACCACAGCCTCACTATAGTCACAATACCCATAATTAGGATGGATACCTGACACTATTCACTCTCTGCAGATGGCATACCAGGCAGAGAGCAAGATAAGCAGAAAGTACAGAGAGGGCCCATAGTCCTGCAAATTGTCCTGCACAGACACATCACAAAGTCCAGGGGACAAACGTCATCCTGAGGTTAACAGCTGCCTGTGCAAACAGAGGGATTTACTCACACAACACGGAGTGTGAGGTCACTGTTCAGAGAGCACAAAGCTCTGTGAGTTATAAGCAGAAAGTGGCTGAACATGGAGTTTTCATCCTTGGAAATATTCGATGCCAACATAAACCTACTGAACCCCTCTGGCTGAAATTGTTTTATGTAGGGGTTCAACAGGGCGAGATCCTGCCAGCCTCAGATATTCTGTGATCCTTCAATATTCCATTCAAACACAATTTCTTTGATCAGAAGAGAGCCACCAAGTTACCCTAATCTCAGTAAGACTCCTCAAAGGTAAAAAAAATCTTTATGTCCACAGATCTCAGAGAAAGTTCAGGACTCTTTTGGACTTTGCAAAGGACTCTTAAACACTTGGGAAAATATTCTCAAAACCTTCATCAAGATTACTCATAAATCCTGAAGGCATATGCAGCCATACAGAATCCTTATATTTAGAATTTAGGAATATGTAAGGGTTTTTTTCTGTTTGTGAGCCAGAATTCTTATACCTCTGTGAACACACCATTGATTATATGTTTGGATGGTATCTTAGGGAATGCCTCAAGGCTGTTTCAAACCCGCTCTCCTGCTATACAGACAGGAGACAGGGAAATCAGCTATGACTGAGGGATGCCTTCCACACCAGACATTCCACACATCTCCACAGGGGCAGCAGCTCTGTATAATCAGGTACAGCACCAGCTCCATCTTGAAATTTCTATTTAAGAGCCCCAGAGGTTCACCAGCAAGAAATCATTGCTAAAAATAATACATCTTTAGTACTTGCAGAATTCTTAGGATCTGTTTAGTTCCAATTCTTGCCAGCCATCCATCAAAAATACAACAGAGCCTACTGTGCCTACTTCTGTCAAGGTTTTGCAAAACAGAAACTTGTGGGGTTTTAAGTAGTTTTGACACTGAATCCACTCTCTGCCATTCCCCAAGTGGCTCAGTTCTACAAATGAAAAATGGAATACACCACAAGCCAGACTTTGATCATGTAATTCTTCATTGTTTTCCCATCACGGCTCTCTCTCACCGACTGCTGATGCTGAACTCAGGAGCAGTTCTGCTGCAGCCAGGCAGTGCTTTGCAGGGTCTTCCCACTGCCAAAAACATCTCAACCTCTGTGTGGGGCACAGCAGATCCCCCTGAGTGTGTTCCACGGTTCAGGCTCACAACAAACGCAGCAGGATGTGGACAGCCACCTGCATCCAGGGAGATGCTGAGGGCACAGCTCTGCCAGACATGGTGGGACATTCAAAGGGACCTTCACAGCACCAGGGAATCACAGGCTCATTGAGGCTGGAAAAGACCTTCAGGATCATCAAGTCCAACCTTTGACCCAACACCACCTGAACTAAACCACAGCACTGCCATGCCCAGTGATTTCTGGAACAGCTCCAGGGTTACTGACTCCAGCACTTCCCTGTGCAGCCCATTCCAATGCTTGACTGCATGGGCTCCCCTGCCCGTGAAGAAATGTTCAGCAGCAAGCCCAGAAACTCCCTTGTCCACCCCAATTACCCAGAGTCAAGTGCTCCTCAGCCCCTCTCAAGTGTCTCAGAGCTCTGCAGAGTCTCATACCCTGGGATGACGCTTGCAGGCACCCCGAGGGAATCACAGGATGGTTTGGGTTGGAAGGGACCTTGAGGATCAGGTAGTTTCACCCCTCTGCCATGGACAGGGACACCTTCCACCGGACCAGGTTGCTCCAAGGCCAGGGACAGGGCAGCCGCAGCTTCTCAGGGCAACCTGTGCTAGGGCCTCACCAGCCTCAGAGAGAAGAACTTCCTAATATCTCATCTAACGCTACTCTTTCCTTCTGAAGCCATTCCCACTTGTCCTGTCACTACGTATATTGCAAATAATCTTGCCCCATCCTTCCTCTGAGCTCCTTTCGGGTACTGGAAGGCCACAGGTCACCCTGGAGCCTTCTCTTTTCCCGGATGAACAATCCCAGCTGTGTCAGCTCTGCAGGTGGGGTCTCACCTGAGCTCACCTGAGGGGGCAGAGGGGCAGGATCGCCCGTCCCCTGCTGCCAGCCAGGGGGATCAGCCCAGGGCACGGGGGTTCAGGGCTCCAG